CATCTTGATTTTTGGAGACGAATTATCAGGTTTATATTAGAAAAAAAGCAGGAATGGGAGTGTCCGACTAGTAGATACCTTGAGCTGTCGATATGAAGATGGAAGCGTTATGTCATGCACTCTGACTAGGAGTGCAGGAATGGGAGTGTCCGACTGGGAGATACCCTACCTTGTGGTGGTTTGAAGCGATTTGGAGTGGAGTGTCCGACTAGATGATACCCTGCATCTCGTGCAGACATAAGCATTCTATTTTGACTAGGAGAGAGCAGACAGATTGGAAATTGGTTGAATGAACAGACAGAGATCCTGATCAAGCTCATATATACGTCACAGCTGCGGCTACTCATGCTAATCCATATTAAGTGTATGTGAACGAAAGCTATTTCCATTTTCGAAGCTATAAAGAGTTGTGACTAACGTTTAGAGCTAATCAAATTCGATGGCTTATGGCTTATGGCAAATAACTTTCATTAGGCCCGACTCATTAGGCTTTATTGGACTCAGAAAAAAAAAAAAAAAAAAAAAAACAAAAACAAAGAAAAAACAATAGAAAAACCTCTGAATGGAAAAACTTGATTTAGGCTCGAGCGCAATTTGCGGCTGCACTTTCCAATGGAAATTGTTGAAAATTGCCTGACAACGGAAATGGCTTAATCATTTCCACGCATATTTTCGCACAGGCCTGTTATTATATACCCTTGTGAAAAGCGTTTTTTCCTTAGCTCGATGACTAATAAAGTGTTTTTCCCCTCTTCTCTTATTTATCTATTTGCAGGTAAGTTTCCCGAGGGCTCTAAACGGAAATAGGTTGCGTAAGTCAATAAAAACGGCATCAGTCGCTTATTTGCTTAGGATCTGGTTATATAACGACGCTAGCAGCAGTTCCTGTCTGGATTATCAGGGTTATTTCGTTTACCTGCCCATTAGCGCACCTGAATGACTTTTGGCATAATTAGCTCTTCCCCAACTCGTGTAAATGCATTTGCGGCAGCGCCTCATTTGCTCTGGCGACTGCATCGATTGCCAATATGAATTACAAGTGTGGCTTAGATACTTTACCTGCCCGACTGTCTGGCTTAACTACCTGAGCGTCCGTCGCGCCAAACAATCTTTGAGTTTGAGACAGCCGCATGACTGTCAACTGCGTCTGCTGTCTGATTACATATTTCAAACTTGTTGTTGGCTTAACTGATTGCAACATAACAACAACTACAACTACATCTCTTTTAATATTTTTGCTTATTTTCCCTTATTTATTTTTTTTTTTTGATATTTTGAATATTTTTTGTGGCTTATAGATTTTTTGAAAAAGTTTTTAAATTTCGTATAGCTTATTCACCTTGATTAAAGAGATTGCCAAAGTCTCCCTTTCTCTCTTTATATATACTAGATTTATACTGTGCCATATATATATATATATATATACATATATATAAATATATATATATATAAATATACAGCTTATGGCAGATATAAATTGATTTTATGAATTGTTCGCAGTTTGTAATTTTCATAAAAATTTAGTTAATTTCAGATAATAAAAAAAAATGCAGATTATTTGAAATAAATAATTTATTTTACTATTTGACTATGTATATAAAAGATTTTAAAAATATTTTATGGCGCGAAAGACAGCTTTGGTGGGCAGTGACCGACTATGATTTGATTACATGCAAAATTTCAAGTCTTTAGCTCTGGGACTTACAGGCGAACATGTCTCGATCGATGCAGCGCGTCCTCCCGATCAATAATATACATACTTCTGCTTGTCACAATTTCACAAGTCACTTTTTCTCTCTCTCAGCAACAGCCAAACCCACTCAATGTTGCCATGCCTCTTTGGCCAAGCTAATACACTATAGGGTATACGAAAACTGAATCTCAGTTAATTTAAAGACGCCCTGTCTGTGCCCATCATGTACCATGCGCCTATTGTACGAGGCAGACAATTTATAACACAAATTAAATGCATGAAAATTGTGATGAATGCGAACTAAAATTTATGCTGATGACATACCCGGCAAAAAGAGCTAAGCCGCCCGCTGCAGTTGCTCCGACTGCGGCGAACTGCGAGGTGAAGCGAAGAGCAAAAGGATTTCTCGTTGTTATTGCCGTTGTCTGCTGCGTCTGTGCTGAACACTTTAGCTTTTTTTCTAGTGAGATCTAGACTTTGTAACTTATAGCCAAGTCAGATTACATGATGGAACTTATAGTGCTATCTGAACTGTAGCTTGCAGCAAATGATTTTATGTAGATATATTTGGATCAAGACGAACTATGGGAAGGAGTGAGAAGCAGCAGCTTGGCTGTTGTGTCTGTGTTGTACAATTTAGCCTTTTTCTAATTAGCTATTTAGTTCAATTAGATGAAAGCTGATAATAGAGCGAATGTTGTTTTTATATTGGATATTTGTTTAGCTTGTTCCTGGCGAAAGACGAGAAGGAAAGTGGAAGAGCTGGATTTGATTAGTCTGTTATGTCTGTGCTGAACGTTTTAGCAGTTTTTAGAGACATATATATTGTGTAGTATATAGCTTTAGCTTAAGTTATTTAAAGAGTCGGCTTGTTCTCAACTTCTTTCAATCTATAACTTATTGGATATTGTGTGCTCTGTGTCCCTGGCACCTCATACGTTACCTCGCTACTTTCTGTTGCGTTATAACTAATTGGGATTCACATAGTTGAAGTGTTAAAAAGTAATAAACTCCAGAAAGCTGAGCAGCTTTGCTCTATATAGAACTCTATCAAAAGTCTTCCGTTTCCCCATTCTTGTTGTTGTCTTATTGTTACTCAAAGCTCAAGCTACAACCAGTTGGGAATTATAAATTCCTTTTTGCTCTCCATAGCTTAGCTCTGCAGCACTGAGCCGTGAGCTGTGAGCTGTGAGCTGTTGTTTTTGTCTGGGCATTTCAAGTCGATTCAGCGGCTTGGTATTTCATTGAGCTTTGCTATGTTGCCACTTCACGTTTAGCTAGGTTGCCACCAAACGTTGCACTTGGACTGTGAGTGGTGGCTAAGTTGACTCCTTTCGGCCTGCCTCTAGCCGAAAGTTGTTGCGTATTAAAATGGAAATTGCAAGTTTTTTGTTGCTTGTTGTTGTCTCGTGTTCGTTGGTCGGCGGCGCCTTTTGTTTCACTTTCGTTTGCGAGTTGCTCGCTTGCTGTTGGTTGTTGCTTGTTGATTGCAGGTTTTTATAACCGCATTTATCACGGCTGCCACACATTCGCAGCCATCAGAGTTGTTGCTGCTGTTGCAAGTTTCATTTTCACTTAATTGCTGCTGCAGTGACTCGGGTGTGGCATGCCACCAAAAAGGGTGCCAGTCAATGCTAACTCCGCTGATCTCGCCCGTTGCAACTCAGCTGTGTGCCACGCCCATTTCTCAAGCGGAATGTGCGTTCGCTTGCTCGTTCGTCATATTTGCAATTTATGGCAGATTATGAAATGTTTTTTTTTTAACAAAAATTTCCTGTTTTGCTTTAAAATTTATTGTGGTTACGCACTTTGTCGGTCGCTTGGCCAACATCAATTAATATGGATTTATATATATATGCAATAACAGTAGGCCAGGTAAGCTACCTGTTACCAGTTGGCAATGCATTTCACTGTGCTGTAATGTTTAATAAAATTATGCGAATTTTATGCCCAAATTTTTGCATAAATAGTTTTGTAAATATTTAATTTTAATATTAAATTTCACAAGTTTAATTTTAATTCTTCAAACGCTACTTTCGCCAAACTTATTTTATATATCTTTACCTTTTCCTCACACACTTTTCATTAATTTAATACACATTAAGCCAACCCCCTCGCATAATACAAATTACTTATCAAATGAGCCGAAATTCCTTTTGATTGCCCCCCCAAAAATGTTAACAAATTCCACAAGTTGTCATGCAACATGTTCGATTGTCGCCCAAGCAGCAAGCGTCGAACACATTTCCATGCGCACAACAACAAATATAAGCGCGTGCAAACATCATAATGCTGTTGCGTTTTTAACGAGCCATCGAACACGTTCCACTAGCAGTGCCATTTTGAGTTTAGCAGTGCCATTTCGAGCAAGTGCATAGTTAACTTTTTTTTAGAACTGTTACGTTCAGTGCGCGCTCAACTCTACGAGAGGAAACACCTGCGTTGTGTTGCAACGAGAAAAAATAAAAATAAAAATTAAAATAAACCGAATAAGCCACTAATCAATCACAAATAAAAACTAATACAAATTAAAACTAAATATGAGAAATTTGATAAAAATTTAAAAATATCGAAATCAAAATGTAAACGTGCGCCTGCGCACAAACTTCCAGTTCATAAATTGCTCAACGCGCGCTGCATTGAGCCCGCATTTGAAATACGTTTGTTTGATCGATTTTCAATTGGAATGAAAGCATTTCTTGTATAGGCATTTCGAGGCATTCCGCACATTGCCATAGTGAAGCGTGCCACAAACTAGCACAACAAAAAACTGAAATTCTAAAAAAAAATAATTAATTAAAAATAAAATAAACGAACATTTAATTTCATTCAACCTTTTTAAACTGTTGTCTATTTACATTTATATAGCTTGACTATATAAAATGGTACAATAGCATACAGTAAAGCCTCCATAACGAACTCCTTTTTTTTCGCGCTGGAAATCGCTTCGTTGAAACATTTGCCCAGCCATAAAACTTTAATTTCTATATATGTATATGTATTTGTGTTCAATTTATTTTCATTAAGTGAGAAAGTGGAAAAACTAATTTCCATTTAATTGAAACAATTGCGCTTAAACTCGAAAGCAAATAGACTGTCAGCAGCAAGAAACAAACGCGCGCGCTGCATTCCAAGTAGAGCAAAGCAATAACAATAACAATAACAAGAAGCAGAAGGAGAATAAGCTGATATAGATACACGGCTATCAAGCTACAGCTACAGATAGTTACAAAAAGATACTGCGATACCTGTCTGTGGGCCCAACCCTCTCGCAAGTGCAGTCGTAAATGCTTAAGACGGCTGCTGCATAATTATATTCATCTCTGATTTCTGTGTCTTGTGCGAGTGTCTGCCTGTGTGTGTGTGTGTATAACGCTGCAAGCAACAACTGCCACAGAATGTATCTCATACAGGTGAGAGAATTTAACTAAGTTACTTGACATACAAACAGATCCCATAGATCACCAAAACTGCTTTTACTTAACAAAAAACAACAACAATAACAACATTAATAACAATGACTGCAAGTAGATTTACTTAAATACTTTGAATACCCTAAACTGTTAAAGCTTATGTAGTTAGTTAAGCTGCTTGTGACTGTTGAGTTTTATTAAAAAAATGTATATTAAATTTTGTAGACAGTATATTGACGAGGTCTGTTTGAAGAGTTTGACAGTGTTTTTTTTTTTTTTTGGGAAATTTATTATTTATTTAGGTACAGCTCTAACTTTATGCACTTCAAAGTAAACTTCACTATATATTATTTCCACTTGTTGCGGCATTTAAAAACAATAATTTTTGTCAGCTTCTGCAGCTTCGACTCTGATGACGTCTTTAGAGTTGTTCAGTTGTAGCACAGCCTCGTACTTTAATAATTCTCTTCAGTTCTCAGAGAAATTAGCTGTTTATATATATAGAGCTTAAAAATATATATTATCAACTTATTTATATATAAATAAAGAAAATCGATTGCAAAAACTGAAGCCAAGAAACTGCATCCAATTTTTGGCCAAAAAATAGGCACTAATGAGGCCGCCTGCTATTTATACATATATATTTATATATGATTTTTTAAAGGGTATACTAAGTGCATTCTTTGCTCACAGTTTTTCCCTTCTTTTGTATTAATTGTTCGCTAACTGTGATTTTTTGTCTGTTTTTGTTTGTCTTTTTGTGTGCTTTTTCCCACTTTGCTGTGCGTGCTGCAGTTCCATATTTAAACATCAAGTAATTTGTTTAATTTGTTGTTAATTTATCTTTCCACTTGGCGAGCGCATTTGTATACATATATATATGTATACTCTTTATATATGTGTGTCTGATAATGAAGTAGTTCAGTCGGCTCGACACTTTGTGCTAATGAACTTTAAACTTGGCATTCAGCCAAATTAGCTTAGAGAGATTAAGTGGGTTAAGAAGTTGTATTGAAAGCGACGCAATTTGGAGCAGGATTTCATGTTTGATTTTTAAATAATTATAATAAAATTTCAAATATATAAAACTGAAAAATATAGTGACTTTTCTCAATTTGCTGACTATATTTCATGGACTACCAAGTTTTTAAATAATATATATCTACATAGATATTCCCATATTAATTTGCTTAATTGAAACTTTGATGGCATCTCAACTTATCTAAGCAGTCTGTGCATTGAGTAACAATTTATTTGTGCCCTTTTATTTTAAAACTTGAAAAGCAAATAAAAACTAAAAAGTAACGAAATTTTCGACATGTCCGATCGGGAACCAAGCAAGGACAGTGTTCAGAACGCTCAAACTCTGGTCGAAGTAATCTTTGGCATATCCGAGCTGGTCAATGCCGGTCTCAATTTGGATGCGATCGCAACTAGCATTGACCTACTGGCCGCCGGTATGGATCCCTACACTTTGGCCAATAAAATCAAAATGCTGAAAGGCGATGCCAAGAAACAGCAGCAGCAGCAGCAGCAGCAGCAGCAGCAACAGCAGCGACACTGACTACTCTTTGTTATTTAGATATTTCATTAAAAAGTCAATTTAAATCTGGGTTTCCTTTATTTTTTGATTTAGTACTATTGCAAACGGGCCATTGCTATTAAGCTTTAAGTTTTTTGCGAATTTAGTATTGGGAACTGATAATGAAGGTGCACTAGCAATCGTTGAAATGAATCATGAGTCGTTCCGGTTGCCCATTCCTGGAAAGACATGCAGATTCTTTTGATTCTTCACAATGGTTAGAATACCAGTCATAATAATGATCAGTTGCAGCAGTTTCGCCTGGTAGAACGTCTGCAAAGAGGGAAAATCGAGTTAATATTGCTGTTCGTGTTATCAATCTATTATTAATGGAGATACCAAATCAGTTTTATCATTATCAATAATATCAATGTAATTATTATAATTGTTATTATTTTTATTATTACTTTTATTATTATTTATTATTATTATTATTATTATTTTTATTATTATTATTATTATTATTATTATTATTATTATTATTATTATTATTATTATTATTATTATTATTATTATTATTATTATTTATTATTATTATTATTATTATTATTATTATTATTATTATTATTATTATTATTATTTTTTATTATTTATTATTTTTATTATTATTATTATTATTATTATTATTATTATTATTATTATTATTATTATTATTATTATTATTATTATTATTATTATTATTATTATTATTATTATTATTATTATTATTATTATTATTATTATTATTATTATTATTATTATTATTATTATTATTATTATTATATTATTATTATTATTATTATTATTATTATTATTATTATTATTATTGTTATTATTATTATTGTTATTATTGTTATTATTGTTATTATTGTTATTATTGTTATTGTTATTATTGTTATTATTGTTATTATTGTTATCATTGATATCTGATTGATTTTTCATTGGTTTCATTATCAATTTTACCTGACGTATGTATATGGGTAACGGTATATGCGCCCTATGCGAATGATAGTCAAAGCCTCTATATATCCAATATCCTGGCCAGGCGCCCATGCTGGCTAACAAATAAGGTGACGCGGTATTCAGTACCTGTTCGAACTGTGGTGTTTGTACCACGTGCTGTATATTTTCACCCAAGTTGGGAAAGCGCTTTTTGCTGGAGTCACTTTCGTCTGAGGTTAGCGGGACTCTATACACACGGGAGACTGCCCAATTCTTCATACGCTCAATGTAACTTGTGAAGCCCATTATTAGAACACAAAAATTTGCTTACAATTTTGATGAGAAGTTGACTTGGACTAGTTTGATTTATAAAGTAGCAAAGATAAAATGTCTCTGTCTTTTTCTCTCTCCTTTTCTTTCTACCCGCTTCTCAGTCTCTATCCCTGCCTGTCTAAATGACATGCTCCGCTACGTCATAGCCTGCTATTTAAGTTTTCAGCTTTCAGTTTTCAGTTTTCAGTTTTGGTTTCTCGGTAACTTGTAGGACACCTCGTGCACCTCTAACGAGTCCGTTGAGCCACGTGCCGTGGTGGCCATGAGCAAGCCGACGCTCAATATGGCCACCTGCATGAGTTTAGCATGCTGAAAGGTCTGCAATGAGAATGAAGGGTATACATATATGTTTATGCAGGGTATATACATGTCTGCCTATGTATGCTATGTTTTTGGCATCCCTACCCTTTGTATGTACATGCCAATCCGTTCGGTTCGACGTCTCGTCTGCCAGTTGAAGCCACGCCACATCCAATAGCTGGGCCAGGCCACGAAGCTGGCGCCGAGATAGGGCATCATTTTCTGCAATTTAATGCCGAAACCGGGCGGCGTATTCCGATTGATGAAGTCGACAAATTCCATCTCGTAATCAATTGTCGCCTGTTGGCTAGTGTCAGAACTGGCGAACTCATGTTGCTCCGACAAATTGGTCGTTGCTATTTCATAGATATTTGCCTGACTCGCTTTCACGTCGTCTTTTAGCATGTCGTCCTTGGGCTTCAGCGTTGGTGGTTTCTTGCCGTCCTGCGACTTATGCTTTTTGTTCTGTTCGTCATCTTGTTTGTGGTCCTGGTGACGCTGCTGCTGCATTAGATCGATCACATCCTTACGTTTCAGCTCCTCCTCGATTGCCTCGGCGGTGTGTTGCCCAGGCGCCTGGTCGGAGTTCTTTGAGAAAAAGCGACCAAACGTGTCCCGTATCTTGTCCATCAGAGTTGCGATATATACAATTTAATTTGATTTTATACACTTTTTTTTATTTGTTAAGATAACCGAAAGAAAAAACATAAATATTCTTTAAGTTTGGAATGATTCAAATTTCAAATGTATTGTGAATTTCCGAAATATTAAACTTCTTATTATTTGTTGACTTTCTTCACAGTTTAGCTTTAGCTGCTAGCAATAGTGCTATTGGATTTCGCTCTATCTCTTTCTCCTACTCTTACTCTTACTCTTTCTCTTGGCTCTGATCACAAAAGAACTTTCCAAAGGTTTTATTTAGAAACTTGTGAACGTGTCGCATTAGGTTCTTTTTTACATAAATTATTAGGTATTATCTGGCATATAATGGGGCTGCTTTTTAATGTATTTTATACGTCATTCTCTGTTTAACTGTTTAAAGCGAGCATATTGGTTTTTGAATACTTCATATTTCTATTATAAATTCATGCATATAAAAGTCACTTAAAAGTTGCACATCATATATAGGAGGTGTGTTCTAAAAGTATTGCGAAGTTTGTATTGCTCGAACTTGTGGGCGTAATTGAGAGAAATTTTGAATATCAAATCGAAACATTAATATGCGTAATCCATTTGAAATCCCAAATCTCAACTATAACTTCTCTAAATGTGGCAAGTGAATCTCTCAATAGTGCAACCTCAAATCGGACTGAAGCTATACAACTAAAGTGCTTAGATCAGCATATTGTGAAGCTCTATCAAACAACATCAAAGTTGAGCGAGTATTGTGTAGTCAGTTATAGCCGTGCCTACCTATGCTCTCCTGGTGCAACTAAATGGCTTTTTGAACGCCCTCAGCTTTTGGCTTGGCGGGCCGAATAAAATGTTGAGCTAAGCTACTGTAAGCACAGCAAGAGGCTCGATTAGTGTTTGGCTTAATGCGCATTGTTAACAAAAGTTGATTGTGGCCAGCCTGGTGCAACTGCTGCAACTGCTGCAACGGCTGCAACCGCAAAGTGGGTCAGTTTTCGCAGGCTGCACAATTATAAAGCGCATACCGCAACTAGCGCTGTCTTGGCCAAGAGCTCTGTGGACCAAGTGGCTCGAGTTGTGGCTCATTGTTTGGCTCACTTGGACGCAGCATCTAACGGCCTGACTTGAGTCGACTTGGCCGGCAGCAGGTGTCTTTGTTTCTTTTTTGGTAAGGTTTCGGTGTCGAAAATGTGGCTTACCTTCAGCATTCAGCTATGGTCGAGCCGCAACGGTTAGACCGTACGTCGTTCTATGCCAGGAAGCAGCCGCTAGCTGCGCTGCCTTTGTCTAAACTAGTTTTTTTCTCATTTTGTTTTTGCTTTGTTTTTTTCCGTAAGATTCTTAATGATCAATGCATTTAATCAAACTCACAAACAAAAATTCCACTGCTAAAGAATGCCAAGAACAATTTAACGGTAGTCAGTCTGCATTCTGTACACAATGCACACATAATTGGGTGAAAATGTCTTTTGAGAATAGTTATCAATAGCATAAACTCTTGGCTTGGCTAAACCTGAATAAATCTGAATAAAGCATCAAAGCTGCTTCAAATTAATTAATAAAAAAAATTTATGTAAAAATATAGGTTCATTTATTTTTTTTCTAAAATTTTTTGAATTTCACAATTCAAATTGAAGTTCATAAATTTTTTTTAAATATCAAATAAAAATATTTAAATGCAAAATAGTTCTTAAATTAAAAAAATTGTTTTTAAAATATGATTAATCAAATCATTAAAAAAATTAAACTATATAAAATAAAATGTTAAATCAAAATTTTGAAGCTTTTCTAAATTTTTTAATTAAAAACAGTCTATACATTTTTAATCTATTTTATTTAAATTTATTAAGCATAAATTCCTTAAAAAAAAAATTTCAAAAAAAAAATAAAAAAATTTATATTTTTAAAGTATCAAATCAAGTTTTAAATTTTAAAAAAGTTGTCTGTAAAATATTTTAACTAGTTTGTCCTAATATATTAAAATTTTGTAACAATTCCTTAGAAAATTTAAAATTTTATAAATTATTTTTAACATTGATATCAGTTTTTTCTCTTCAATTTTGCTGCTCTCACTTTGAGCTTGCGGCAATTGTTGTTTTTTTTTTCTTGCCAAGTCGCTTTGATGCCTACACGAAAAATTCTATTTAGCGCTGTGTAGGCCCTTTAACTGTTAGGGGCCAATCCAATTAACCCAGTTTGCCGATTGTGATTTGTGGCGAAAATCGTCGCTCAACAGGCAGTTAAAAGTCATGTCCAAATACATGATTTTGAGCATAAAATCAAAGCAATGCGAAAGCAAAATTTCTTTCGCCAACGCCAAATTGTCAAATTGAGTGTGGGCCGGCGTAAATCATTTGAAATTTGTAATATTTCTCAACCTGATCGGTGGGTTAACAATGTTATGACAGTTTTCGTTAACTGCAAACTGGAATTTTGACAGCTATTAGTTAATTGTGATTTGCTGCTTGTCCACAAGAGCCAAACACTTGAAGTGTCAAGTGCTTGTTGTACAAGCTTGTCGAGCATAACTGACTGCATAATACTCGTGCACAGTTTGAAATAAATGAGAGTTGGAAGTGCCCAACTAGGAGATACTCTGAACACTGGGCGGAGATGCCAATCATTAGATTAGGAATATATATATAATTTATGGAGTCAGAGTTGTCTGATGTGATTAGAGTTTTCTCTGGTTTGTCAGACCTACACAAGATGCATTAAACAGGGCTGACAAACGATTATATTATTATATTTACAGTTTCAAGTCTCTCTCTCTCACTCAAACTAATATACTCTCTGTTTCTGAAGTAAACGTGTTGAAATTTGTTGCTCAATTATTTTTATGCTGAAATTATGCTGTGGCAAAAGTGAATCATCAAAGTTGGCATGAACAAATTTGTTTATTAAAAGTTTTCTTTGTTGTCTGTAAGATGATGATATATATATTTTAATATATATACCCAATATTCATATTATCAGTTGGTTGGCAACTTAAGATTAGACTTTTCTATATTTGTGATATTCAATTCGTATGCTCAGCCACTGCCTTGACTTTGTTTATTCTTAAAAAGCTGCTTGCGTCTTGTTTTCTTAGCTGTCTGCCACATACGACGCCGCATTAGCTTTATACCTTAAACAAATACATTGGCCGCATCAGAGGCGAATGCTAATCTCAGCTAACCCATCGCTGCCCGCATACCAAACCGAGCCGAACCGGAGCAATATTTACTCAATTTTGTGAGACAATAACATTGCTCAGATTTCGACAGCAAAAAGAATTTAAGAAGATGCCACAGCAAACGAACTATAAACAATGCAGCAGACGCAAATAAAAAACAAATAATGCGATCCTATGACACATTGACAAATGATCTGCGGTCAGAATAACTAGCGATAAGGTCCGCTCCGATACATCAAATGGCATCAGTTGACAGTTTGTCCCAATGGGAGACCAGACAAGCCCCAAAGTATTTTTGTTATATATATATATATACCCTGCCTATATGGCTAAAGAGGGTGTATACGCTCTGCTTGAAGTGACTGCAATAGGCAAACTCCTAATGGACAGACAACAAACATCTTTCTCTCGCTCTGTGAGCCTCTCTCACTCACACACTGATTCATTCTTACGCACTCTACTTTTTTGTAACTCTCTCTAGGGTATTCCCAGTCGATCATTAGACTCTCTTTGACACTCACTCACTCTTCTTCCTCGCTTTCACACTCTCTCTATCACTCCTTTCGTTTTCTGCTTGCTTTCCTATTCATCTCTCTGTCTATCTCTGCTCTCTGTAGGAAATATCTAAATGTAGGGTATTCCGAGTCGATCAATTAAGCCTTTCTCTCATTTTCTCTCTCTCACCCTCTCTTTCTCTCTTTCTTCTTTTGTTATCCTCCTGCCTCCTCTCTATTATTTTCTTTATCTAACTCTCTCTGTCTCTACTACTTTAGATCTCTTCCTCTCTGCGCCTTCATCTCTCTGCTTTCTCTAGAAATTAATTAAGTCTCTCTCTCTCTCTCCCTCTTCCACACTGTCTCTCTCTCTCTTGCATACTTTCCTTATTTCTAACTCTCCCTACCGATTCTCCACCCAAATGCAGGGTATTCCCAGTCGATAATTAGACACTAAATAAGTTCAAATTTCAATAGCAATTGTCATTGAGCCTTGATCTTATCCGTTATATGTGTATTGGGTCAACAACTTCCCAGACGTAAGGCGAGCCATGGCTCGGCTAATGAAAAAATGGAAATTGATATAGTTATTGATATTGATTTGCTCCATATTTCCACTCGGCTGCTCCTCAGTGCGACTCGTTCAATCTTTTGCATTTCACTGAGTTTTCTGTGGTTTGGGCTCGTCTGGCATTAGCTGTGATTTTATAACATAGTGAACTACAAGCAAGTAACAAGTCATACAAAGCATCTGATCGATGCTCAGCTCGGCTCAGTAATTGGCTCAGGTAACAAGCGTGCGGCAGAGGAATTTCTTTGAGCCTGGGCAAGGCATTGACTGCCTGGGCGTGGCCTCAATAAAAAACGTATAGGTGTATGTATTTTAATTACCTTAAGTCCTTTATGTGAATCACGACTGTGGCACACGCAACACATGAACCCCAAAACTCTAAGAATCAAATGTCTTTGAACTGCTCTGAGCACAACAACAAAACACACCTCCAGCAATTGACTACCTGACGGCCAACAGGATTTTCTAATTCCTTGAAAGAATTTTATTTATGGCTAGTCTATTGAAATTGAAAAAGTCGAGTATATTGGTTTTGGTTGCGTCTCTAGTGATCTCTAGCTCAGTTGGTCTCATCTAAATTTCTAAACAAGTGAACGAGTATTGTGCAGTCTCTTACGCTCGTCTGCTCGCTGCTAAGCATTGTTACCTGTTGTAGCTCCTTTGGCTTTAACCATTTCATGTTTCCAACAATGTTTTGTTCTTTTCAAAAATTTCCAGTAAAAACTTGCTCAATCTACAATCCCATTAATTGGTTAAATGCATTTCTTTTGTTGGTCTTGCGTCTCATATGATTTATCATTTGACACTCACATTTCATGGCTTATCAATAAA